CCTGCAGCCTACAGTCAGCCCATATCATGAGGATGCGCGGTAAGGATGCAAGGGCCTTGGATGCCCATGTGAAAGTTTTTCGAACGAGGTTGGCCCGCGAAAGTCGCTAAGGATGGACCGAAGGGGCAAGGATGCAGAGGTACCCTTGGAAAGGTTGCCCATCCTTCCTATGCGGGTTGACTCTATCGTTGCCCCCGATGCAGGGGACCCCGGGCCGCGGACTCGACACGGGCTGGCCGCGCCGCTTTAGCTCAGAAGCGGACGCGGGCGGGCCGCGCCGCTATAATTAGCCCAGCATCGTCAGCGCACGCCGCACGAGAATCGTCAGGAACTGATGGGCTGATTCTCACCCACTACCACCATAGGCAGGACGGGGGAGAAGGGAGAGTGGGAAGGTGCTCCTCCACCTCCTCCTCCTCCTTCTCCCCCTCCTCCTCCTCCTCCTCCTCCTTCTCCCCCTCCTCCTCCTCCTCCTTCTGCTCCTGCTCCTGCTCCTCCTCCTCCTCCTCCTCCTCCTCCTCCTCCTCCTCCTCCTCCTCCTCCAGCCCCTCGCCCTCCTCACCATGCCCCTCCTGGCGGCGCGCACAGCCCTGAGATCCTGGCGTTGCAGCTTTTTTTCGCCACGGGCGTTTTCGCCAGGCTTCGAGCTCTGGTGCCCTCACAGCTCGAAAAATGGCGCAGACAGATGGAGTCTGGGGCTCTGGTGGCGATGGTTCAAGTTTCTCGCGCCGTAAGATTTCAGGGTAGGGGGCAGAGGGAAAGCTTCGTAGATGGAGGCTGCTCCTCAGAAGGCGCGGACGTGACCTTTCTCTATCTGCATGCATGCATGTGTTTATGTATGTGTGTATGTATGTATGTATGCATGCATGCATGCATGTATGTATGTATGTATGTATGTATGTATGTATGTATGTCTGTATGTATGTATGTATGTATGCACGTACGTACGTATGTATATATTTATGTATGCATGTATGTATGCGTGTGTGTGCATGTATGTATGTATGTATGTATGTATGCATGCATGTATGTATGTATGTATGTATGTCTGTGTATGTATGTCTGTATGTATGTATGTTTGTATGTATGTATGTGTATGTACGTATGTATGCATGTATATATATAAATATGTATGTATGCAAGTCTGCACATACGTACGTACGTATACAAGTATGCATGTATGCATGTAAGTATGTATACATGTATGTGTACGTGTATGTATGTCTGCATGTGTATGGCTGTATGTATGTATGAACGTATGTATGTATGCATGCATGCATGTATGTATGTGTATGTGTGTATGGGTGTGTCTGTATGTGTATGTGTGTATGTGTGTACGTCCGTATGTGTATATGTATGTCTGACCGCATGCATGCATGTATGCATGCATGTATGCATGTATGTGTGTATGGATGTGTGTATGTATGTATGTATGTATGTATGTATGCATGCATGCATGTATGTATGTATGTATGTATGTATGTATATGTATAAAAATGTGTGTATGCAAGTGGAGGCATACGTACGTACGTGTATATACATATATGTGTATACATGTATGCATGTATGTATGTATGCATGCATGTGTACATGTATGTATGTATGCATGCGTATGTATACATGTATGCATGCATGTATGTATGCATGCATGTATGTATGTAGCTATGTATGTGTGTGTGTGTGTTTGTGTGGGTCTGCATGTGTATGGCTGTATGTGTGTACGTACGTATGTGTGTATGTATGCATAAACGAATGCATGCATGTATGCATGCATGCATGTATGTATGTATGTATGTGTATAGATATGTATGTATGTGCGTAACCATGGATGTGTGTATGTATGTACGTATGTATGTATGTATGTATGTATGTTTGTAAGCATGCATCTGTGTACATAGGTGTGTATGTACATGTGTGAATACGTGTATGCGTGTATGCATGTGTGCGTATGTCTGTCTGTATGTATGCACGCATGCATGTATGTCTGTCGGTCTGCCTGTATGCCTGCCTGTATGTGTGTATGCATGCATGTATGTATGTATGTATGTATATACATATATATATATATATATGTTTGCATGCATGTATACGTGTATGTAGGTATGCATGTACATGTATCTGTTTATACGGATGTACATCTGTTTTATATGAATATTTATGTGTACTCATAGTTGTATCTATATGTACACACATATATATATATATATATATATATACACATAGTTGTATGTGTCTATGGATGCAAGGCCAGCGCCTTCTGAGCAGCAACCTCTCTCTGAGAGGCCTGCCCCTGTCCCCCTGCCTCCCCTTCTGCGCGTGGCCGACCCTCTCCCCCATTCCTTTTCCCGGAATGCCATTTTTCGCGCCCGCCCACGGTTAGCCAGCCCCGGGGGCGTTGCGCCGAACATGAGCGCGGTGATGTGCTGCACACGAGGAGGAGGAGGAGGAGGAGGAGGAGGAGGAGGAGGAGGGGGAGGAGGAGGAGGAGCAGGAGGAGGAGGAGGAGGAGGAGGAGGAGGAGGGCGGAGGAGGAGGAGGAGGAGGAGGAGGAGGAGGAGAGAGGAGAGGAGGCAGAGGAGCAGAAGGAGGAGGAGGAGGAGGAGGAGGAGGAGGAGGAGGAGGAGAGCGGTGATGTGCTGCACACGAGCACAATCTGCACTGCAGACGCTGCGTGGAGGGACACCCCGCCGCAGCGACGATCGAACCCCGCCGTCGGCCCCTCGAAAGCTCCATGTGCCCACGCCGCCCTTCCCAGACACCCGCCGCCTCGACTTTCCCGAGACGCGGGCGTCGACCTCTCTCGACCGCTTCCCCAGGAGCGGCGTCTCGCCTCGATGACAGGCCCGATGTCCACCGCCACTACCCTAAGTAGGAGAGGGGGGGAGGAGGAGGAGAGGAGAGGAGGAGGAGGAGGAGAAGGAGGAGGAGAGGAAGGAGGAGGAGGAGGAGGAGGAGGAGGAGGAGGAGGAGGAGCTCCTCATCCTCCATTCTCCCCCGTCCTGCATACGGGGTGGGGAGAAGGAGGAGGAGGAGGAGGAGGCGGAGGAGGAGGAGGGAGGAGGAGGAGGAGGGGGAGGGGAGGGGGAGGAGGAGGAGGAGGAGGAGGAGGAGGAGGAGGAGGAGGAAGGGGGAGGAGGAGGAGGAGGACCTCCTCAGCCTCCCTCCTCCCCGTCCTCCATATAGTGGTGGAGAAGGAGGAGGAGGGGGAGGAGGAGGAGGGGGAGGAGGAGGGAAGGAGGGGGAGGAGGAGGAGGAGAAGGAGGAGGGAAGGAGGAGGAGGAGGAGGCGGAGGAGGAGGAGGAGGAGGAGGAGGAGTCGAGTCGTTTTCTGTGACGCGCCCCCGAAGATCGCCCCCCCCCCCCCCCCTCTGGGTCTGGCCAGAGGTGTGCCGTATGGCCTGGCCCGTCGAGAGGGGTGCCCCGCCGTTGCGACCCCCCCAGGAAGCTGGCATCACACGTTGCTGGACCCACCAGGTGGGACATCTGGAGGCCCAGACCCTCCTCGAGTCACAAAACAATGTCCACAAACCCAGACCCCCTCGCGCTGTGAAAAATTAACGACGGGATGTTTTGGACTACTTTCGGCCTCCGGGGGCCCTGCCCGGGACCCGAGACCGTCAAAAAACGACTAAAGATGAAAAGCCAGTCCTGGGGTCGGGAGGTTTTTGGCCATTTTCGGCCTCTGGGGAGCGCTCCCCTGGCCCCGGGGCCGTCAGAAAACGACTCGGGAGGAGAAGACGGTCCCTGGGAAGGGGTCCAGACCTCTGGGGGTCGACGTTGCGAAAGAATCGCGACGTCGGGGGTCTGGGGGTGGGAGAGGAGGAGGAGGAGGAGGAGGAGGAGGAGGAGGAGGAGGAGGAGGCGGGAGGAGGAGGAGAGGAGGAGGAGGAGGAGGAGGAGAGGAGGAGGGAGGAGAGAGGAGGAGGAGGAGGAGGGAGGAGGAGAGGAGGAGGAGCAGCAGCAGAGCAGCAGCAGCAGCAGCAGCAGCAGCAGCAGGAGGAGGAGGAGGAGGAGGAGGAGGAGGAGGGGGAGGAGGAGGAAGAGGAGGAGGAGGAGGAGGAGGAGGAGGAGGAGGAGCAGAAGGAGGAGGAGGAGCAGAAGGAGGAGGAGGAGGAGGAGGAGGAGGAGGAGGAGGAGGAGGAGGAGCAGGACAGCAGCAGCAGCAGCAGCAGGAGGAGGAGGAGCAGCAGCAGCAGCAGGAGGAGGAGGATTTCAGCCTGGATTTCCCGAAGGTCAACGACCATGTTTGGGGTGAGCGGCGGCCTCGGGCTTCTCAGGACTGATCTGGGTCCCCGAAGACGCACTCGTAGCAGGACTTCTTAAGGAGGCCGGTCAAGACGCGCAGCGTATCTGAATCCTCATTGCAGTCCCACTCCGTCATTGTAGCTTATGTCGTAAGCCTGCTGACATACTCATGTCGGTGCTGGTCTGTCGTGGTGTGTGCTGGTGGGTGCAGGTTGTGCTGTCGGTCGCTTTGCTTTTGGGTTCGCGGCGTGTCGCCCAACCCTCTCTCTGGGAGCGTCGGTCTGGGTTCGCGGCGTGTCGCCCAACCCACTCGCAGGGAGCTAATGGCCCCGACCAGGCGGTCCGGGCTCTGTCGCGGTGTGCTGCGTGGGTCTCGTCTGCGATGTCCGTGTGCTGCTGAGTCGGTCGTTCTGGGTTGGCGGAGTGTCGCCCAACCCTCTCCGTGGGAGCGTCGGCTGGGTTCGCGGCGTGACGCCCAACCCTCTCGCTGGGAGCTGTTGGCCTCAGTCTCCGTAGTTGCACTCGTGGCCGAAGGTGGAGACGAACTCAAAACATTTTCCTAGAACAACGAATCGCAACGAAACATAATGATAATCATCAGTATCGATTGCTCTCAAGGCGGGAGCCTTTGAATCTATTCGCAGGGCTTCACGTTGTTGTACACGTTCGGTGCTCCGAGAAGACAGGAACAACGGTTCCTATCGAGATGCGTTTTGTAGCATAGAGCAGATGGGCAAACATTGAGTGAACTTCCACCTGGCTCTCGTAGCTGACGTGGGTGTTGGCACTACGCGTGCTTTTTTTCCTTGCTCTGACCACGTAATGTGCCCTCGTCTTTTCCGCCGGCGGTTTGCATTCCTCTGCGAGCTTCTCGCTGATGTGCTCTTTGGCCTGGCCGCCGCAGCAGAAGTGGCTCTGCTCCTTCCTGCTCCAGGTCATCGGGTGGGAGTGGCAAGCGCACCTGCCTTTCAGCGTGAGCTGGCGGGTCTCCGCCTGCCCGCTGGTGTTGGGGATGGCTGTGCACTGCATCGACAGCCACCATCTCGCCATTGTGCTGCGTCTTGTGCTAGCTGTCGGTTTGCAGGCTTCGCATCTCCACCCCGTGCTCGTTCTGGTTGCTCTGTGTGTACTGCTGGCTGCCAGGTCGTCGAGTCGCGGTGGCTTGGGTGCGATTGCTCGCGCGCGGCTGCTCTGAGTTCGTTTCGCTTCTCCCATGGCATGGGAGGTCTTCGAGCTATTGCGTCGATGGTGGCGTGCGTGACGCGCTGTCTCACTAGCTGTCCAACGGCTCGTGCCCATTCGTAGCATCCTTGTTGAGCTGGTGGGAGCGCGTGTTCGTCTGCTGCTGTATATGCTCGTGCGTCGGCCTCTTGGTTCCCCTTCCAAGCCCACTTTGGTACTCGTCGTGCTGCTGCTGTTTCCCTGTCTTCATGGCTTCGTAGGTGTCGAATGCTGATGTCCTGGTGGGATCATCATCGCGTCTGGATGGCGAGCTTGATGTCTCTCCAGATGTCGCCGTTGCTGTGGTGATACCTGTTGCTGTTGAAGCGTTGGGCTCTCCATCCTTTGCAGAGTACCTCGGAGCCTGTCCAATACTCGATGCGTCCTCGGGAATTCTGCAATCTGTGTAACAACACCCACAGTTCCGCTCTGTTGTTCGTTTGTCGTGCTCCAGGTAATGGTCCTCGTGCTGCTGCCTGTACTGTGCCGTCGTCGGCCATGAATACCCAGCCCCATCCACATCTGGGAGGAGGAGGAGGAGGAGGAGGAGGAGGAGGAGGAGGAGGAGGCGGAGGCGGAGACGGAAGAGGAAGAGGAGGAGGAGGAGAAAAAGGAGGAGGAGGAGGAAAAGATAGACATACCGCTGCTCCCCGTACCTCTCCCGGGGTGCGTTCTGATCAGGATCTCGAGGCGAATCCAACGGTGGCGACGAGGGCCTCCCAGGAGGCCCACAGGAAGAGGAAACCACGGGGCAGGGGTAGGCGGTGTGGCCACCTGGTCCGGCTCTGACCCCACAGAGAGCTCGATGCCCGTGCCGCCCTTCCTCCTTCCTCGGTCCCAGCCGCGGCGGCCCGGGTCCCCGGCTCCCCGGCGCCCTGCCGCGGCGGCGCGCCCTCCCGCGGCCTCGAGCCCGAGAGGCGCGCCTCACCCGTCCGTCGGGGGTCGGCCCCCGCCTGGCCCCGGGGCGGCCCGACCCAAGACGGCTGCGGAGGCGGGCGGGCCGATGCCAGAGTTAAGTCGGGCGCATGTTGGGCGAAAAAAGAAAAATGCCGCACAGATCGGTCCCGCTCGAGAAGTGCCGCAGAAACACGGGGCCATATGGCTCCCGCCGCTGACTTTATGAAAATTGCATTTTCTCACGAGGTCGGATCTCGGGGGAGCTCCCGACCCCTTCCTTTGGGGTGGTTCTGCCTCCCGGATCCAGGGCCCGATGGCGGTGCCCGGAGGCCGAAATCGAGGAAGCGCTCCAGGATGGAAGAAAAACCATACGGTCGGCATTTTTTGTTAGCGTGTCGCTCCGCCGGTTCTGGCCCACCACGCCGGTTCCCTCCTCCCCCTCCTCCTCCTCCTCCTCCTCCTCCTCTTCTTCTTCTTCTTCTTCTCCTTCTTCTTCTTCTTCTTCTTATTCTTCTTCTTCTTCTTCTTCTTATTATTATTATTATTATGATTATGATTCTTCTTCTTCTTCTTATTATTATTATTATTACTATTATTATTACTATTATTATTACTATTAGTAGTATTCTTATTATTATTATTATTATTATTATTATTATTAATCTTCTTCTTCTTCTTCCTCCTCCTCCTCCTTCCCTCCTTCTCCTCCTCCTTCTCCTCCACCTCCTCCTCCTCCTGCTCCTCCTCCTCCTCTTCCTCCTCCTCCTACTCCTCCTACTCGTGTCCCTCCACGTCCTGCTGTACCTCCCCTCCTATTCCTCGTCCCTCCTTCCTCCATTCTCCTCCTCCTCCTCCTCCACCTACCCCTCTTCTTCCTCCTCCTCCTTCTCCTCCTTCTCCTCCTCCTCCTCTTCTCTTCCTCCTCCTCCCCTCCTCCTCCTCCTCCTCCTCCTCCTCCTCCCTTCTCTTTTTCCCTCTTCGTATCCTGCCATTCCTCCTGCGCTCCTTACGTATCCACGTCTTCCACCGTTCACATCATCCTCATTCTCCCCCGCGCGTTGTGCTGGCCTTCCGCAGAATTACCGCCCAGCCCCCTCGAGGAGGGCAGCAACATCAGCCCGACGCTGCACCGGCTTCGTGGTGCGCGTGTCGCGTCGTGTTCCTCGTCCTCCTCTTCGTCGTCATCGTCGCCCTCCTCCTCCTCCTCCTCCTCCTCCTCCTCCTCCTCCTTCCCTCATTTCTCGTCCTCATCCTCGTCGTCGTCATCCTCCCCTTCCTCGTCCCCCTCGTTGTCGTCGTCCTCCTCTTCCCTCTCCACGTAACACATACGAGATCCTCCTCCTTCCCCTCTCATCCTCCCCATCCCGCTCTCCCCGTCCAATTCCCCTCCCCCCTCCGCCCTGTTCTCATTCCAATCCCCAACCACATTCCGATCCCCGTTCCATCCCCAGGCAGCCTCTACGAGCCCGCACCTGTGTGCGCTGGTTCCACACGTCGATCCCTGGCCCCCGTCCTTCACCCCTGTCCCCACCCCCACCTCGGCGGCGAGCGACGGGGGGGAAGTGAGAAGAGCGCATGTCTTTGTTCTCGGCGATCATGAGCATTATAGGGGGGGGGGGCAGGAGGGGGTAGAATGTAACGCCTCCCCCCCGCCGTGCGCACGGCGGCAGTGCCCGGAGCGCACCGGGGGGGAGGGGCGTTACGTCACATATAGGGGTGGGGAGGGGGGGCCTTTGGCTATAACAATGCCCACTATGCCCCAAGCAGGAACGAAACACGCTCGACGGGGCGGCCCTTCTCAGAAAGCTCGGAAGTCCCCCGGCCTTCCGAAGCTGTCTAAGCCTTCCCCGAGGACGCGCAAGACTTCTCAGAAGGCCAGAGCGCTCCTGAGAAGCCCAGCCGCCTTCTGAGGGGGCCTTCTCGTTCTCACTTCCCCCCCTCGCTCGCCGCCGACCATCCCTATCGACGGGTTTTTTCCTGATAGAGACTGACCGCAAGCGAACCAGCCTTGTTTGAAAAAACTCCTAGCCAGCGCAGGGGACGCAATCGACCCGATCCCACGCACCGCGGGATGGGTCGTCGTCGTCCACCTCTGCGCTGGCAAAGGGAAAGCCAGAGAGGCCGTCCCACAAGGCCAGATCGGCCTGGAAAGCGGGCGGCGGAGAGCACTCCTGCCCCGTCCACCCCACCCCCACCCCCCCACTCCCAGTCCCAACCGAAGGAGAGAGAGCAGGCAGAGGCGGCAGTTCGGCTGACTCCAGCAGCAGTCGCTTCCGCAGCAAAATCGGAGGGCCCACAAACATGCGGGACCGAATCGGATGGCAACCTCGCATGAGGTTGCGAAGCCTGTAGTACCTCGAGTCTTTCACGAGGACACCCTGCCTACGATTCATCGGTAAGCATTCCTGCGCAAGACCCTGGCTCTTCTTCTCCGAGAAAGCCCCGCACAGGGAGCAGAACAAGAAAGGCCCCGCGCGGTGAAGGGCGTGGGAGCTGGTCCTGTCCTCGCACCGTAGCTGGCGAAGCACAGAGCGTGTCCTCGCAGACCGAAGGCACACCATGCAGCGGAACCTGTGTGCAACCAACGTCACCGCAGGGTCGAAACGCGAGTGCGGTCTCGGGGGACCAAGTCCCCCTTCAATCGTGCCTATGGCACGGCCCAGTATTTGCGCTTGAGCGTCACGTGGCGTGATAGTGCCGATCCGAGCGACCAGCCTGGTGCAGAACTGAGCTACGAGGCGAATGGCGCTGCGCGACGCGCCATGCGCAGATCGCAGCTGGAGAGAATCGCCATGGACGGCGGCACCCCATTTAGCCGACTGATCAGCTTGGGCATTGCCGAACCGTTGCCATTCTGAAATCCGTCCCTCTGCTACGGCAGAGGCAGGAGTATGTGCTTTGACGTGAGAAACCTCCACCGACTCTCCCCCGCGGTCAGACACAAGCCTCCAAACCTCCCTCCATAGAAAGGCAAGCGGGTCGCTCGCAGCGGTGCCAGCTCCAATACCTTGGCGCCAGACATCCACGAGCGGCTTGCAATCCGTATAAAACTTCATCTGAGCCCCCATGTACCGCAGCGCCATCAAGAAACTGAAAAGCTCAGCCGCTGGCACAGATTGGATGAGACAGGGCAGAGGGCCATGCATACGAGCGACCACGCGCTTGCTGTCGTCAAGCGAACAGAGTCCCCATCCGCAGCGACGTAAGCGAGAGAAACGTCCGTGCCTACCCGACCCATCTCCGAACACGTGCGCATCAAGCAGCAAGTCGGGAGACCGCACCGTCCACACGACTCGCTCCTCGAGGCAGGGGCTCGGGAAGAGCCAAGAGGGGTCAGGGACAAGAAAGCGCGTGAAAAGCAAGGTATCCACCGCGGCAGCTCGAGCCATGTCCAGCATTTGACCAGCCATGGCACTGCCAGCTCTGTAGTCCCGACGATACTCAGCATGCAGAGGGCAGTCGTAAAAACGGTGCCAGGTAGAGCCAACACTCTGACAGGCCAGGCAGCTGGGGTTGACTGCTCCTCCTGACTCGTACAGTCGCTCCTGCGACCAGAAACCTCCCGCAAACAGGCACCGCAGAAGTCCCTGATGCCTTGGGGTCCAATCAGGGCCACGGAGAGAATGAGGCTGGAGGAGAGACCTCAGGGGCTCCAAGGGAGGAGGATGAGGGCAAGGCGAGACCCACGAAGGATGCTTCGCAAGGACTTGGCGCCAAACCCACCGCTCGGTGGCCTCATCAACTAACCTACCCCCATCTTTCGGAGATATCTGTTCAATGGCTAGAGAACCTCGGTGGGTCTTCCAATGAAATGGGTCAGACACCGACCAGCCCAAACGCAAAAGTGTCGCAACTAGCGCAGAGGCAGGTCCGCGAATGTCAGACCATACTTGAGTCAAAGGAACTCTAGAAAGGCGAGCCCATGCTCCACT